TAGAGAATGGTTAAAAAAAAAAAACACTAGTTCCATTAAGTAATGTAAAATGGCATACTGTTGCAACAAAATAAGAATTATACCATGTTTTTGAAATTGGGTCGTAATTGTGAAAACATTTCTCATAGGCACACCTATACATAACCCCCATTTTTAACACCTTTTCATTACAGTGTTTTGTTACTTATGCTTTTTTTGTTCCTTTAAAATACTAGGACCTACTCCAGCTGCAGTATGAGGGCGTTGCGGTCATGAAGATGTTTGACCGTGCAAAGGTCAATGTAAACCTCCTGATCTTCCTTCTAAACAAGAAATTCTACGGGAAGTAAGCAAGGCTCTGGAATGTGTGGAGCAGAGGACATAGATTTCAAGCAAACTGCACATTTTGCATTGCCCTCAAGAAATAAGGGATATGATCATTCCACACTGCTTTAAAATACCTGGGAACATTTGTTCCCAAACCCTGCAAGCATCGACCTTGATATTGTCTTCTGGCACAGAATATACAGAGGGCACAGTGCCTATATATAGTGTTACATAATAAATCTTCTATAACTAAAGGAATAGATTGAGAGAATGTTAAATTAGCAAAGGGTCCTGCACATCTGCACTAATATGGGCTACATCATGTCCATTGCCGTCTTTTTAGATATATAAAGCAAGTGATCTCCACGTTTGCTCTGTCTGGTTTTAAATGTACATCTCAATTTGTTTCTCTATAGCGTGGACTGCTGAAGATGTGTGTAGCTCATGATTTGATACAAGCCCATCTGTCCCGCTAGACGGAAGTGCTTAGCACGCATTAAATCATGAATTATTTTTATCAACCCTTTCACACTCTGCTTACTTTCATCATTCTCTGTGATATTTTTAGACCACCTCTGTTCCCCTTATTCTAGAAGGATTAAGGGTTTTCAGACACTTTACACTCCGGATGATATTTTTAGCATTCCAATGACACTTTAAGTGTTATTTATCCATTCTGGCAGATCCTTTTATTTAGAGAGATTAAAATAACTGGGTTTTTCTTCTTCTAGATTTGATCAATAATGATTCACTTAGAGTAACATCACGATAAAGGAAATATCGTTGGTTTCCTACAACCCAATCTATTATATTGTTTATCAAGGCTCCATTTTGTATTTTTTAATTCTTTGATGTTAAAACGGTTTGTTGGTGCGTCAAAGATAGAAAAAAAGAAAGTTTCTTTCTAGTCTGTTTAATATCTGTTTAATGCTCCAGAAATACTGTCATTCATTTTCAGCAGTTATGAGGTGTGGGGTCTTATGATTAGGCCAAATTTGACATTAGACATTAGATTAGTTGCTTGTTTGTGTCTGCTTAAAATCATAGCTTAAGCAGAGAGACCAGTAAATTTGGTTAACTGCAGACTTAGGAAATTTTGTGTAGGAATTGTCCTCTAAAACAATCAGTTCTAATTGTCATTACTAGTAATTATTAAACACTAGTTCCTACAAACATATATTGGAACATGTCGACCCCTTTATAAAAATAAAAAATATATATATATTCATTTTGTTATAACTAAAATTTCTGGAAGAGGTGGTGAACATAGTGTATCTTGTAAATTGAAACCTGAAATTTCTATAAAATTTTTTTTTTTGTAAGTTTTATTCAGATATATATACATATTTGAAATTAAAAATGTTGCATAATGCACAAAAAACACATTTAATTAAGTGGGATGCAAATGGCACAGATGCTGGCAAAATTTTAACAAGGTAAATAAAATAAGACTACAAGATAAAACCATCTCTCAGATTTATGTATTCTCAGAAGAGCCTGTGCTAAGAAATTTGCACTGATCTGTGTGATGCATGTTGAATGCTTTTGCGCACAAGCTATGAACTGTTAAAGAAAATAAATATACTTAATATGTGTTTAGGATGTAATAATGCAGCTTTTAATTTTCATAATTCAAAAGATTTAAATCAAATTTAAAAAAAAAAATGGGCCTCATCCCTTGGATAATGATATATTCAACATTTATAGCTTAACTATAATGCTTATGTTCTAATTCACAGAATAAAAAGAAAATAGTTTTATTGAAATATTTTTTTTCCCCAATATTATATTTATTTGCCCTAACAAATAATCCTAACATTTTCTCTTTAGCAGAAAGTTGTACCTCAGTAAATGAGACTGCCTGCTTGCATTTGTACTTTTTTTTTTAACAGCTCAATAAAGAGACTTTGTTTTATTCGACTGTTTTCTGTGTACTGTTTGGTTGTGTTTTTTTTTTTTTTTGTGTGTGTGTGTTTTTTTTGTAGAATGAAATGATTGCATATGTTCAAAATACCTGTTTAAATATAAATAATACAACCCTATTACTGCTAACAAAAAATATTAAAACAAAACCTAAGCAGTATAACATGAAACTGCCTAGAACAAGGAATTTTAGCTGTGCCAATTGTATTTACAAAGACTAGATTCTATAAACTTACTGTTTTGGACCGTATTATAATCCAAAAACCAAACATTTTAATTGCAAAGAAGGCAAATTCTCATCTGTTTTATATAATTATCAAGATCGCTTCAGGCATGAAGTAGTAATGTTACATCATAAATAACATTTATTTATTTTTAATCCTCTCTTTTATTGAGGCATAGGCAGGTACACTACAGAAAAAGAAAATGGAGTTATGTTAGTAGTATACATGTTATTAATGTTAATAGTGGTGCACAATAGACTCCTGAATAAAGCAGCCTCATTTTTTGTTTTGTTATAACATGATCTAACATAATGTCAGTAGACAGGCCACCATAACTGAGTTATATTACTGTCTGAGCTGAGTTATGATATTACTTACTAGAAAACTGAATATACACTGCCTGGCCAAAAAAAAATTGCCACCATAAAAATGTCACACGCTTTAATATTTCGTTGGACCGCTGTTGCGAATCAACACAGTAAAGGAAGAGACTATATTTAAAAGAAGGAAAAACTACCACAACAAGAGGACATAGTCTTAAAGGAGTGGTCTTAATGAAGTGGTCTGGGTGCCAGGTCCAGCTAGGGTTAACCCATTTTTTCATAAACATGTTTATATATGGGTTAATCCTTCCCCCTAATCCTCTAGTGGCTGTCTCATTGGCAGCCACTAGAGGCGCTTGCGTGCTCCTCACTGTGATTTTCACAGTGAGAGCACGCCAGCGTCCATAGGAAAGCATTGATAATGCTTTCCTATGTGACCGGCTGAATGCGCGCAGCTCTTGCCGCGCGTGCGCATTCAGCCGACGGGGCGGAACGGAGGAGGAGAGCTCCCCGCCCAGCGCTGGAAAAAGGTAAGTTTAAACCCCTTCCCCCTTTCCAGAGCCGGGTGGGGGCGAGTGTGTTTTCCTGGCACTATAGTGGTCCTTTAAATTAGGGGGCAAAGGTTTAAAAATAATATCCGGAAGTATTCCTTTACGAGAGGGTAGTGGATGCATGGAATAGCCTTCCAGCTGAAGTGGTAGAGGTTAACACAGTAAAGGAGTTTAAGCATGCGTGGAATAGGCATAAAGCTATCCTAACTATAAGATAAGTATTTATTTTTAAAAAATTGGGCAGACTAGATGGGCCAAATGGTTCTTATCTGCCGTCACATTCTACGTTTCTCTGTGGCATTTTCGACATTCTGCAATGTCACAAGGTTTATTTCCGTCCAGTGTTGCATTAATTTGTCACCAAGATCTTGTATTGATTATGGGAGAGTCGGACCACTGAGCAAAGCCTTCTCCAGCACATCCCAAAGATTCTCAATGGGGTTAAGGTTTGGACTCTGTGGTGGCCAATCCATGTGTGAAAATTATGTATCATGCTCCCTGTACCACTCCTTCACAATTTGAGCCTGATAAATCCTGGCATTGTCATCTTGGAATGCCCGTGCCATCAGGGAAGAAAAAATCCATTGATGAAATGCCCTGGTCATTCAGTATATTCAGGTAGTCAGCTGACCTCATTCTTTGGGCACATAACGTTGCCTGACATAGACCTAGCCAACTGCAGCAACCCCAGATCATAGCACTGCCCCCACAGGCTTGTACAGTAGGCACTAGGCATGATGGGTGCATCACTTCATCTGCCTCTCTTCTTATCCTGATGCGCCCATCACTCTGGAACAGGGTAAATCTGGACTCCTCAGGCCACATGACCATCTTCCATTGCTCCAGAGTCCAATATTTATGCTCCCTAGCAAATTTTTCCCGATTAGCCTCACTGATTAGAGGCTACACAGCTGTTCAGTCCCAATCCCTTGAATTCCCTTCGCATTGTGCGTGTGGAAATGCTCTTACTTTTACTATTAAACATAGCCCTGAGTTCTACTGTTGTTTTTCTACGATTCGATTTCACCAAACGTTTAAGTGATGGCCAATCATAATCAATCAGGATTTTTTTTTTAACCAAATTTCTTCCTGGAAGACGATGGTTTCCCACTATCCTTCCAGTTGGACAGTTCTTAACCCAATTCTAGTAGTTTCTGCAATCTCCTTAAATGTTTTCTCTGCTTGATACATGCCACTGATTTGACCCTTCTCAAACAGACTAACCTCTTTTCCATGACCACGGGATGTGTCTTTCGACATGGTTGTTTAAGAAATGAGAAGCTACTCATTGCATCAGTTGGGGTTAAATAACTTGTTGCCAGTTAAAAGATAATCGCCCATGCAGTAACTATCCAATAGGAGGCTCTTACCTATTTGCTTAGTTAAATTCAGGTGGTGACTTTTATTTTGGCCAGGCAGTATATACGGTAATAAAAGAGGCTAACACAATTTATGGATATTTTTTTTTCTGTGGTGTAAAGGGACAGTGGTCCACACTAAATACGTGAGGCCAAGCCAGGGCTAAGTCTCTTTCCCGAAAAACCCAGAAAACCACACTTACGTAAGGTAACTATCTGGGTATGGCTCTTTTATGTATTCCACCATGTACTGTTTTAAGGCTTGCCCCACAGGTGATGATGAATGGCACATGGTGTGTGTATGAAAGCATATAGATTAAACATTTAGGCTGTCAACTGTACAAATACCCATTTGCTGCTGACATGCTCCTTCTTGCCTTTACCTAATATCTTCTATTTGTGTTATTGGATTCTACCCCTCCTGTAATTTATCATTATTGTATTCATTTTATAAACAATCCATTTACAGTGCGGGGTGCAGTTGTGTCCAATATTTGCAATATGCAGTCATTATTGCAGTGGTTTTTTTTGTTTGTTTTTTTTAAATTCTTTATTTTTGCAGGTGATGGCTGACAATGCAGTTTAAAAAATAACAAATGCAAGATCTGACAGTAAACATCGCATTGGTATTAAAGTCAAACTGTCGTCACCCCTTTTATTTATTTTTTTGGTTAGTAGAAAATGAAGCTTAAACATATACCAGCTCAGCTTATGAATGGCTGCAGAAATACAAGTGATGGCAGAGAGCTGGATAGCATAACTGAGGGATAGGGAAAATGTCGCACCGGTAGACACCAGCGCTGTTGCGTGACATAAGGTATGCCCTTATCGCTAACAAGGAGGTCTGAATAGTAAATTAGAAAGAGAATAAAATCACAAAGAAAAGAAAAAGGTAACTAGTGGCTAAATACAGAGGCAGTGTGAGGCATGCGACTATTGATTCCGCAACAGCAGTGAGAATTCCTGTTCAGTCGATACTCTCCAGAAGCATAGCACAGCCCCGTTTGGGTGCCCATGCGCACCTTGACTCCGATCGGGACAGCTGTGTCTTCCATGCGTAGTTAGTGGCAAGATAAGCCCAGTAATATTGCTAGATACTCCTGCCGTGTGTTTGCTCCGTGAGGATCTTGACCATCTGGTGTGTTTCGCCTTACAGCCACTGGCACAGATTTCTCACACCACTTTGTCCCAACACTCTCAGCCAGGGCCTACCTGGTTAAGAAATATACCACAAAACCAGATTAGGAGAGTGAGACAGAATTGTTCTAATAATGAGGTTTGCCAACAACAAATGGAAGAAATGAGACAGACTCCAAAACAAGGGATATCTTCAAACATTACTACAAGAAGCGATGGACGCAATACTTACCAGTCCGAGAGAAAGTCAATACCACAGAATCACATACCTCAGTTCCAACTTTTATTACCAAATATAACCATCAGTTTCATACAATACAGAAGATACTGAGAAAGCATTGGGGAATCCTCAAAAATGATCCAACACTTTCCCAATGTCTGGATCAGCAACCCCAGATAATATTCACGAGGGCATCTAACCTACAACTCATGTTGGCACCTACCGTTAAATCTTTGTGTGCCATTTCAGACCAAGGTACCCCCTATGGTTTTACAAGATGCAAAAAAGTGTCCAGCATGCAGAAATAATCCGTCCTTAGAAGACACCATAACCAAATTTTTATCATTAACGACACAAGAGGAATACAACATCAAGACCAATATGGACTGCAACACTTCGGGAGTTATTTATCTGATAACATGCCCCTGTCCGCAACAATATATTGGACGAACAAAGAGAGCATTGAAAACACGGATTGCAGAACATATTAGAAACATCAAGACGGGTCTTCTAACACACAACCTCTCCAAACATTTCAAAGAAATACATGGAGGAGATCCCACAGGACTTAAATTTATGCATATTGAGAAAGTTAATCTACATTGGAGAGGAGGCAGTATTGATAAGATCCTCGATCAAACTGAAGCCAAGTGGATCTTCAAGCTTGAAACTCTAGTCCCTACGGGACTTAATGTAGATTTTGAACTAAATGCTTTCTTATGACAATTAGATCTTACATCTACTTATGGTTTCTGTTATACCAATATTACTACATTTTCCCCTGTAACACACTCCCAGTACCTGATATTTTTATCATAGACTATTTCCTTCACTTTTTCTCACTATATCTCTCTGGGATTGGCTGGCACTCCCTCCTCGAGTTGTCAGGATCCTCTATATGTATGTATTTTTCTCCCAATCCCTCATTCATTTAATATAGACATATTCCTGAATAATGTATCTTACTTCCATTACCGTCTCATTTTTCTAATCATTTTAAAGTATTAATTATGTAAGTTTTATTTGATTATGTTACTAATTCTCTTGTTCTGTTACAGAATGAAATGGAAATGTCCAATTTACATTATATATATTTATATATATATATATTTTTTTTTATTATTATTTTATATATATATATATATCTTCTATATTTTTTTATATGTCTTATGTTGTACCATCATGGAATACTAGATGCAATTATGACGTATAATGTTTTAGATGGATTATTGTTAGCCATTTATCTTGAACAAACATACTTTTAGTACAGTTACATTTTAGTATTTCTTATACATATTCAGCATAAGTCACATTATTTAATCTCTTCTCCACGGGAAATATTATATTATGAACTCACAGGGCGATACAAATATCCTAACCACGTGTATATATGCACCTACAAGATATCCCCCGTATCTCCACTATTAATACTTTTTCTGTATACTATTAGACTACATATAATCTCACATACTATGCCACGATACACTATCACACATATACTTAATGTGAGAACAACTTCTTATTCTAATATCATACACAATGCTTTGTGATATACTTCTTGTCATCTAATATCTCTTTTAGCACATGTATGGTTAATTCGAACCATTATCTCTAAACCATCAGTCCACTATCTTATACAAATGTTTAAAATACAAATGTCTAAAGTAACAAAATTGTACAAAATGATTATTTTGATTTATTGTATTCATGTATACTCTTCATTTGTAACATCTGATATATAACTTTACAAATGTACTATTGTTTTATTGATAATTAACCCTAAGGGTATTTAATACATGTCTGAAGCAATGCACGATAGCATGTCTCTGATGAAGTAGGGCGCACCTCCTACGAAACGCATTAGGCAGTTTGCAAAAGCAAGACACCGATCGCATTCACCAGCAGCAGTTCCACTTTTCAAGCAGGACCTTTGGTAATAGCAGCAACCGGCATCGTCTCTTTTGCACGTCCCCGGGAGTGGGGCTTCTGTTCGGAATGTGCACTCAGCATCATGCCATCCTCACCGGCAGCCGGAATACCAACAATATCCAGATCCATCCTCCTATAATCCGAAGGTCCTTGCTGGTATTTGATATACTAGAGCCTGATAATGCACTTATTAATGGTTTTGACTTATTTTAAATATCTTTTATATATTTTTAATGTTTAATAAACTGGACTTTTTTGTTAACCTATCCAGTTTACTTTGCTTCAGTTCATCACGATCTTTTATACAGAGTATCTAAGCTTGCAGTTCCACATACTGTATCGCTTAGCAGCTTGATATTGCTACTTTTTATCTTTGATACTACAAAGTATATCACTTTGAAATAGGTATCATCTACCCCCCACCTCATTGGGGATCGAGATACCTGTGTTGCACATTTTCCTCCAAGGAGTGTATTCCATTATTTTGTGGTTTACTTTTATACATATCTGTCTCTAATATTTTAATTATTTAATACATATATCTTTCACTTTTACCTGTATCTTTACCCATCCTTTCTTCTCTCCTATCACCCACTTTATATTCCTCACCACAATATTTTAGTACTTAAAGATACAGCACTCATTTTTCATTTTTTTTTCCTATTTTTATTTGTCTCCACATTTTTATGTCTTATATGGAAGGCACAGTAATCACTCACTGCTGTTATACCTATTAGGTTTACCACATTTTTAGCCATTAGTCATTAGCCAGCTCCTGGAGTTTACACACTATATTTTTAAGGTGATTTTATCTGTCTTTTATATAGGTTTTTAGTGAATCCCTATTTCTTCCAGTTTGAGCAGCTTAGTACACTAGGTACACCAGAATAGTTCTTTCTATATGGACAGGTATCTGCATTTCCAATTCATGACCAATCAATTGAATTTGCCATAGGAGGACTCTAAACAAAGTGTAGAAACATCTCAAACATGATTAAGAGAAACTAGATGCATCTAAAGTACATTACGTACCTTAGATGTGTCATAGCAGAAGTATGAATACTTTGTTTTTATGGGATTAATGTGGAAAAATAAAAATGTAAACAATTGTAGCATAAGGCAGCAACAATAAAAATGTGAAGAAAATTGAAGGGGTCTAAATACTCTGAATTAACAGTACATATAGTTAAGGGGGATGTATTTGTCTTCTATCAAAATGCCTTCAGGATGTCTGTGCATTTTTGATTGAATGCCTTAAGCCCCCCCAAAACTCCTCCCCCGTTAAGTCTTGTTTTTATTTATTTATATTAATTATCTTTCACCCTCAAGGCTATTTAAAACAGCAGATTTTCCTTTTCATATCGTGGATCTTGAGGTTTTGTAGCGAACTGAGATCAATGAGTTTAATTCACCACCCCATTCCAGCTCCCATTAATGGCGATGTCAGTATTTGTACACAATGTTTTGGCACAGGACATGCAGCCGAAGAAAAGATGAAGGTCAGCATCAGAAACGTTCACTGAAATGGGCGAAATTTGGAAAGAAATGTCCCTCTTGATCTCCCCATTTCTTCTGTTTATCTTCTTCTCTCTAAACTATGGGGTTTATTAAAATTAACCTTTGCATAGTGGTGAATTCTAAATGGCAAACTTTAGGCTAAAACAGCTATAGCGGAGTTGGAGAATTTGTCCAAATCGGCTATTTTGACCTAGATTTTGCCATTCAGGCTTCCATTTACAATTCGAGATTTAGTGAATAAATACCTAGATCTTGTTTAAAATCTGCTGCAAACTGATCTTTTATCGTTGTTCATTTACATAATTTTCTCTGTTATGTACCGATGTTGCATTAATATTAGATATTAGGCATGTGCATGGGGGAAATTTTTGGTTTGGTTCAGCATTCCGAAATTCGGGACTTCCGCAATTCGAAATTTCGGGACTTTTGCACTTTGGAACTTTTCTTGCAGCTGCTTAGTAGATAACTCCCTAATTCCCACGGTATTAGGGAGTTATCTACCAAAAGGCTGAAAGACCTAAATTGGTCTTTCAGCCAAATTTACTAATACTAAGTAAAAATTACTTAGTATTAGTAAATTTTGCCCCTACTCACTATACCGTGAGTAGGGGCATGTCTATTAAACAGTGAGAGAGTTATGAGTCAAATTACACAGTGTGGGAAAATTTCAAAGAACTTACCCACGCTGTGTAAAATGACACAGAGCACTCTGATTGGCTGGATTTCAAGCCAACCAATCAGAGTGCTGTGACAGGTAAATGTAGAGACTTACCTGTCAGTCTCTTCATTTACCTGTCAGAGCACTGTGATTGGATGGCTTAAACCTACCAATCAGAGTGCTCTGAGCCTATATAAGCCTTCCTCCGCCCTGCAGAGCTCAGTCTGCATGGAGCCCTCCATGGGTGAAGATGGATTTTTTTTTTTTTTTTTAACTGCGTCGGTTATTATGGATTTTTTTTTATATTTGCCCTTTTTTGGGGCTAAAAAGAGAAGACTCTAGAAGAAAGAAAACTTCAAATGGTAAGTTTTACTATTTTTTTTTTTTTTTTACAGGTACTTAGTTAATGGTCCCCCCCTCATTATTTTTAGGGTGAGGGGGGTAGATAGGGGTTAGTTTTTTTTGGGTGGGGGGGGTTTAGGAACCCCTAGTCATCTGGGTGAGGGGGGGCTAAATTTTTATTTAGGGCCCCCACCTGCCGCTCAGGGGTGGGGGCCGGGGGGAGGACATTAGGTCCCCCCCTTATTAGTATTAGGGCCCCCACACATCGCTCAGGGGTGGGGGCCGGGGGGAGGACTATAGGTTCCCCCCCATCATTTTACTTTAAGACCCCCACCCGCCGCTCAGTGACCTATTGCCCCCCAGCCCCCACCCCTGAGCAACGGGTGGGGGCCCTAAATCAGAATAAGGGAGGGACCTAATGTCCTCCCCCCTGGCCCCCACCCCTGAGCGGTGGGTGGGGGCCAGAGGGGAGGACATTAGGTCCCCCCTTATTAAAATTTAGGGCCCCCACCCACCGCATAGGGGTGGGGGCCAGGGGGTAGGACATTAGGTCCCTCCCTTATTCTGATTTAGGGCCCCCACCCGCCGCTCAGGGGTGGGGGCTGGGGGGCAATAGGTCCCCCCTTTAGTTTAAAAGCCCCACTCGCGAGGGGGGACATTTTTTTTCTTTAACAGTGAGCAGCCACAGGCTGCTCACTGTTTAATAGACATGACCCTACTCGTGGTATAGCGAGTAGGAGCATAAGTTACTAATACTAAGTAATCTTTACTTAGTATTAGTAAATTTGGCTGAAAGACCAATTTAGGTATTTCAGACTTTTAGTAGATAGCTCCCTAATACCATGGGAATTAGGGAGTTATCTACTTATTCATTCCTGTCATTACATTGACTTGCCAATTAACTTACATTTTTATATGAATGTATGCAAATGCTTACAGCTGAATCCTGGCTATGTTTGTATACTTTTTATCTAAAATTGTATACAATGTAACATTCTTCATTCTTACATTGGGTAAGTATATTAGTTCTTAGGCAATACTGTACTTTGGCACTTCGGAAATTCTGGAATTTCGGAACTTTGGGACTTCGACCATTCGGCAATTCATCTATTCGTACATTCGGAAGTACCCGAATGTCCGAATTGCCCCAAATGTAAATTTGCCAGTCATGTTAACTTAAATGTGGCATGATAGACAAACCAAACATACAGGACCCCAGAAATCATTGTCACGCCATATATGTCTGCTCCATCCAGTTCCTCCTTTCATTGTGTTTTGTTACAGATATGTTTATTTTTGTTTATCTGTTTTCCAGTTCTAGTTCTATTGGTTGCAGTCTTCTGGGGAAACACTAGAGGGTGCAGATATGGACTACAATCGGTCAGATTCATTGTTGAGCCTTCATTACTGTCCTCATTGCAGTAATATAGACAATCTAGCAGTTTTTCGAGCTGAAACCTATAATATGGTTTCCTTAAAGTATATCTGTTATGGTATGCACAAGTTTGTATTTGTCATGGTATATACAAGGGGATTGTGTGTAGCTGTGTGATATATTTTTAAGCGCTCTAAATTAAAACGTTACGTTTGTTAGTATTTCTGATAACACAATGTAAAGATAGCATTTAACACTTTAATATAATATGATTTTGATAATGTGCGTGTGCATACATATGTATGTTTGTATAGTAAATGTAGCACAAACCAATAGTTAGGATGGGTTAAAAAGTGATTGAAACCCTTCTACGTCTGCACATACCTAATAAGCCATAAGACTTGCTTTTTACTACAGAAATCTCAAATTTGCAGTGTTGTTACTACTACAAGGGATTCAGGGTGGGCATATGCAAATGAGTTTAACAATGTGTATATATATGTGTGTGTGTGTGTGTGTATAATATTACTAGAAATTTAACGAACTAGGCAAAAAAAATATATTTAAATTAAACCCCAGAACACTCGGGGTCCAGACGCATCCGCAACTAAATTCAATGTGTCGGCACCTGAAATTTGGAAATTAAACAACATTTAGGCACAATTATTCTAAGGAATACAAATTTAGGATGCTGTTTAGCAGATAGCTCCCTAATTTTGTATCCTTAAAAATGGTAATCCCCCGTGGATAAATTGAAATCTGGGTGATTAAGAGTTGGAAGGGGTGGGTTCAGTCCCCCACAGTAACGCTCTTTGAGTAATCATCTAATGCTAGCTGTTGTAATTGCCCTTTTCTCCCTTACGGAGGGGACTTTAAGGATCCCCCCCGGGAGATGTACATGGCAGTGTTCGCCCCATGGGAAATTAATGCTATAAACTTCTAGACACACCTTACCCCTGATCACTCGGATTTGAAACATTGTCCCCTACTGGCATTTATATGTCCCGCTCTCGTACCGGAGCCCCTCTGCCCCCCCCTCCTCACTTTTTTTCCCCCTCTTCCTTCTCTTCCTTCTTCTAATTTTCATATGTGTATACGCTATTTCTCTCATGAACGTTTCTTTTTATCTATTTTTCTATGTCAATAAAAATATTGACCCATGCTTCTAATGGCACTTGACGATTGCTGGGCCAAGATTTAGCCATAACGAAGTTCATCCGTCTAGAAAGGTGTTTTTTCAACCTTGAGACTTCCAATGGGGGGTATAGATCCTTAAAGCCTGTATCCAGGGACGTATTAGCCACAAGGCATTTGACTTGGGCGGCATTTTCCAAGGGGGCGGCAAAAAAAGCCGCCCCCAAATGCACAGGGCAAATGTCTTGAGTTTTGTCATGCCTAGGGCAGCACAAAACCAGGATACACCACTTATACTGTTTTACATGTTAAAATAAAATGTGGGATTTTGGGCGCTTGGAGATAATTAAATTGTCATAACCGTTGGATTATCTCCAAGCTGGGCGGTAACAATTTCAAATGATACATTGTAATGCCATTGGTCAACTGTTCGTATGGTCCCTGTATCCCATCAGGTCCAGAGGGTGCTGTCCCTGGACCTGGGGTCTTGCATAAATTGCCATGCCTGTGTGCCATTAAACTCAGTTCGTTTTGACCCTCAAATCGCAGCTTCGACTCGTTTTGTGGGGAAAAGGGTATCCTAGCTGTACCATAGCTAGTGGGATTGCTTTATAATCACAGGATTCTCGTGGCATGCTGATAGGAACGGCTCTTCTCTCTCTCCACACCCGGGAACCAGGACATCCAAGCGGTCCAGCCTTCAGCTAGCTTGGAGGTAACCTTAACAGATCCCTTTAAGGTGACAAGGATGGAAGCAGCATGGCTTCTTGCAAGTTAAATAAACAGACAGACCTATCATCCCACTCACATAGGCAGGTATGGACACCTACTCACCCAGAGTAGCCTTCTAGTTATATAGGCCCTGAGACCCCTCCTTGTGGGAGTGCTCTCATTACTTCTCCCCTATTAAAGCACAGACCACCATAGGGTCTGGGCTCCGTTGTTTTGATGTCTGCCTAGAGTACAGAGCAAGATCCTGCTTGAAGTAATCTGATTACCCTCACCTGTCTTGATTTCCTGAATTAATTCCTGCCTGTCTGGATTCTGGTAATACTCTTTGCTTCTTGGATTTCTGGATCAGCCTTTGTCTGCCTGGACTCTGGTTAACCCCTGCAATCCTGTTCCAATCTTGGTTAACCCCTGCAATCTTGCTCCTGTCTGGGTTAACGCCTGCAATCCTGCTCCAACTTTGATCAATCCTTCACATCATTTATCCAGTGCCAACGTTTTGGTAAAGACTTTGCTTTTCACGTTAAGGATTATTTCTTACCAAGATACTGCCCTATTTTCGGCTTCTGTTTTGCATTTGGACTTTTTCAAGTATGTTTATTCGTCTTATAATAAAGACCTTAAATGTAAAGACTGTGTCTGTCCAAATCTTTGCATATTGAACCCATTCACTCAAACTTTGGAAAAATATCGGGAGACCCTCCTCCGTTCACACCGGAGGCCATACTCCATCTCACCCGCTCTTGAAATATAAGAAATGTCTGACTTGACACCTGATTAACACTTAGCAAAAGCAAAAAGTTACCTGTACACTATTGCAAATCAATATGCATACTCACATAACAGAAGGTTTTTAGTACCACTCCAATGGCCATTAAAGGTCAAGCTCACCTGCCCAGTCAAGGCAAACCTCTAATTTCACCTTGCTGCTTTCAGCTAAAAGGCAAAATCTCTGAGACAAAAAGAGGTATTTTTTATTTTTTTATAAACCCCTACAGTTATTAATCCTAAAGCATGGAGTTAGCAGCCACACTGTAACATGGCTATGTAATACCAAAGCAAAAATAAACACACAAATGTATTCAAACTTCCACTACTCGTGGTGGCAGCAATGGCTACCGCACACATCAGCCGAAATGAGTAGAACAAAATAAAAAAAATAGTTACCTGAGCATTATCCTAAATTCCTATGCACCATTAAATAACAGGTTTATAGTAGAACTCCTACGACCATTAAAGTGTTACAATGCTGCCACCCATGCCAAGTGTATCCTAGAATACACCCTGCAAAAATCACAGACAAGGGGTAATCAGGAACAGACCAGGGTCAAGGAAAAAAGACTAACGGGAAAATGATTAAACAGAGACAAAGTCATGGATTGCAGAGGACAGAGTAGTCATTCGGCCTGACCAATTAAGAGCCATGAATTGGTGTCTATTCTGCTTCCTGGCTTCAGTGGAAAAACTATGTTTTCCTCGCGAATTGGCAAGGGAAGGGCTTTTCTAATTCCGCGTGGTGGTTTTGCCGTGTCTCTGTAGAATCTGGCCTTCCTAAGTGCGTGCACACTGGTAATGCACTCTCTTAAAGGGTGTCAGCAGTCCAGGGATGATGTTGAGGGGGCGTATCTCATATATAACAGCCTGTCTCCTAGCCCTCTTTGCTCAGGTGTACTGTGTTTACAGCGGTGTTTACTCAAGTGTGCCTATCCTGCCTTATTTGATTACCTGGTATCTGACTATCTGCTTGTTACATCATTTGTGATCATGTGCTGCCTGTCCTGACCTTCAGCTTTACCGACTATGTCTCTACTCATTCCCTATTTGCATCTCGTTTAGTGAATTTCTCAAGCAACCTGCTCTATCCATTAAAACCTTGCATGTATACATCCAAATAGGATGTGGTAATATGTCCATAATTTTGTTCTTTATAGGTGGTAGCATGACCAAATGTATTAGGGTGGGATTATAAATAGGATTAAGGGTTGGATTATGGATATAAGCAAAGCTAGGATTATGGGTAAAATTATATGTTAGTTTAAGGGTTTGATTAGGGGCAAGATTATAGGAAAAGGTATACATGTAGGATATCATCGTAAATGGGAAAAGGAGCAGAATACAAATATGGTGTGTTTGCCATAGTGGGACAGTCTGAATTTCCCCAAAATAAAATGTGTAAAAAAAAAAAACATAATATTTTGACCTAGGGTTGTGATAAAATGGTTAAAGCGGCACTGTCATGCCGAACTTACCTTTCTTTAATTGCTTCCTCTTCTCTCCCTCTGTCAGGATCTGTTCTTCATTTCTTCCTGTCTGCTCTAGTTTTCTTTAAAACACAAGACAAAGTAGGGACTACTTTGTCTTATGGAGGTTTCCTATGCTTGACCATCTATGACCAGCAGAGGAGCAAAGTGTGCTTTATTTCCTGTGGTCAGAGACATTTTCCCACAATTCTTACCTTTCCTCTGTCTTCCTTCTTTCCGTATTGCCAAACGCCAGCAAAACTACCAAAGTTAGTCCTAACAAAATGAGAGCAGTTCGTCCATTCATGTTAGGATGAAATTCGGGACTTTGTTCGGTTCGAAATTTCATTCGAATGAATTAAATTCCGATCCGATCATGGATGCATCTTGCAGCCGCTTAGTAGATAGCTCCCTAATTCCCACGGTATTAAAGAGCTATCTACAAAAAGGCTGAAAAACCAAGATTGGTCTTTCAGACAAATTTACTGATACCAAGTAAAAATTACTTGGTATTAGTAATTAATCTGCCCCTACTTGCTATATCGTGAGTAGGGGCATGTCTAGTACACAGTGAGCAGCTTTTTGTGATTTGGATTATGTGACTAATATATAAATTGTAATCTCAGCATGACAAATTTTGCAAAGTTTTAGATTTAAAACTGGAATTCACTCCTTGCAATATTTGTGTTACAAGAGATAACAATGAATTGTAATCTTATACATATTTTAACAATCACAATTTTGAGTTTGTTTTCTTTAATTGCACTTGATGTGTAGAAATTATTAAATGTCAAAATAAGAAACATTTTTGGCAGAATGCATGAATGGCAAAAGTGCCAAACCTGTCATTTTTCAAAATAGCCCTGGTCCTTAAAGGGACACTACAGCTTAATATAGTTGTTCTGGTGCGTATAATCATTGCCTAATACACCGCTCAAGTATTAGACTGGTTTACAGAGATTAATTTTCGGACAAACCTGTTGCAAAGCATTTTCTTGAGTTTGCAATTTTAATTAAGAGAAAAGGCAGTGTTTACATTTCCCCTAGGAACACCTCCAAGTGGCCACTTCTCAGATGGCCACTGGAGGTGCTTCCTGGGGCAGTGCTGCATAGTACACAGCACTGACATTCAGCGTCTCCACAGCTGAATTTTCCTCAATGAGATGCATTGATTCAGTGCATCTCTATGAAGAGGTGCTGATTGGCCAAAATGGTGTTTGGCCCCACCCCCTTGCCAATTTTAGCCAATGCAATGCTTTCCCCATGGGAAAACATTGGCTTGATTAAAAAGCGGCAATTCTGATGATGTCACCAAGAGGGCGGAGTCAGTGCCGGCAGACCCGCTTGGTGTCGAAAATAAGGTGAGTTCTATATGCTTTAAAGGGAGCTAAGGGGGGGGGCGAGCCCCCTAAATGGTGGGTTTAACAATATAGGGTCAAGAATACATGTTTATGTTCCTGACCCTATAGTGTTCCTTTAAGGGAATGGTCCTAGGTTTAATTATTATTAAAAACTTAACACCCCAATGTAAACCACTACAAAATTTAATCAATTCTAAAACTAAATAATTCTAAACATCCCTTATGCCACAACTATAACCTCTCTTCATCCTTTTAACATTAAACACCCTATATAATCTAACTCTGACATTTACCCTTCTCAACCGTCCCAACTTTAAACTTTACCATAACCACGTTTAGCATTATTTTTAACTAGGCATGTGCATGGGGAAATTTTTCGGTTTGGTTCGGCATTCCGAAATTCGGGACTTTCGCAATTCGGGACTTCGGGATTTCGGCACTTCGGGACTTCTCTTCCCACGGTATTAGGGAGTTATCTATCAAAAGGCTGAAAGACCTAAATTGGTCTTTCATCCAAATTTACTAATACTAAGTAAAAATTACTTAGTATTAGTAAATTTTGCCCCTACTCGCTCTACCGCGATTAGGGGCATGTCTAATGGCCACCGCCTGTGGCTGCTCACTGTAAAAAAATAA